GTATAAAAGCCGTAAACTGGTGGAAAAATCTTACCACAGAAATGCTTTTGTGAGACAAAATAAATAAAAAACCACACAGACAAAGAGACCACCCACAAACTAAAAAAAGTATGTCATACATCTCCAAGACAGAGGCCGAATCTCCCCATAAATAAGGAAAAAGCTACCACCAACGCCACACTACCCGGCATGGGACGTGAAGTACGCGTAGAAAGACGTTCAGGATCACGCCTATCGTAAGAGAAATACAAATTAAAACTTAACAGGGATAGTTTTCCTCCATCAGATTTTCACAGAGCCAAACGCCGGGCCCTGCTCTACAGCGGAGAGGCTGTGTGTGGGGACAGGGACTCGGCAGTGGGGGACACAGGGGGAGCCGCCGGCCCGGCAGCCGCTTCACCCGTCAGAATCCCCGCGCCCGAGAACGGACTGGACGCCGGCGCCGGGGGGGCCACAGGACGTCTGCGCAGGGCCGCAGGGCTCCTCGGCGAGCACAGGCTCTGGGGCCTCGGCGGGGAGGCTGGGTAACGAGCGCGAGGGGGCCCGGCTGCGCTGGTGCGGAGCCGCGCGGCCTTCCGGGAGGGCGGGGCACCGCAGGTTTACAGTTCTGCGCCGGGGTGTGTGTGTGTGTGTATGTATGTGTGTGTGTATGTGTGTATGTGTGTGTGCCTGTGTGTGTGCCTGTGTGTGCATGTGTATGTGTGTGTATGTGTGTGTGTGTGTGTGTGTGTGCCTGTGTGTGCATGTGTATGTGTCTGTGTGTCTGTGTGTGTATGTGTATGTGTGTGTGTGTCTGTGTGTGTATGTGTCTGTGTGTGTATGTGTCTGTGTGTGTCTGTGTGTGCATGTGTATGTGTGTGTATATGTGTGTGTATGTGTCTGTGTGTGTATGTGTATGTGTGTCTGTGTGTGTATGTGTATGCGTGTATGTGTGTATGTGTGTGTATATGTGTGTGTATGTGTATGTGTATGTGTGTGTCTGTGTGTGTATGTGTCTGTGTGTGTATGTGTATGTGTGTGTCTGTGTGTGTATGTGTATGTGTGTATGTGTGTATGTGTGTGTGTATGTGTATGTGTATGTGTGTGTCTGTGTGTGTATGTGTCTGTGTGTGTATGTGTTATGTGTGTGTGCGTATGTGTGTGTCTGTGTGTGTGCGTGTGTGTGTGTCTGTATGTATGTGTGTGTGCCTGTGTGGGTATGTATGTCTCTCTGTATGTATGTGTCTGTGTATGTGTCTGTGTGTATGTGTATATGTGTATGTGTGTGTGCGTATGTATATGTGTGCATGTACATATGTGTGTGTGTGGGTGCATGTGTATGTGTGTCTGTGTGTGTTTGTGTGTGTGTATGTGCGTATGTATATGTGTGTATGTGTGTGTGTGTGTGTGTGTGTGTGTTGCTAGGGATTGAACCAGGGCCTTGCCCAGGCTAAGCGAGTGCCCTACACGGCCCTATCCCTCGGCCCTGAGTAACTTTAATGAGCACTTTCGATGTATTTTTTTTCTTGGCCTATTTTATAAAGACTGTATCACCGCCGTTTAACTCTGGAAAATGAAGTCTGCTTTCCCTCGGACGCTGGGGACCTGCTATGGTCAGGGACGTGGCAGCCTCGCGGGCCAGCGGCGGCCCTTCAGTGCTGGGATCCGCGTCTCACGCATCTACGCTCGGTGCCCACGCCCGGCACACGGTGTGTGCTCAGCGCAGTTTAACAATCGCAGCGACGCTTGGGGGATGACAGCTTTAAGACTGACTGAATCGCGGCGCGCTCTACACACGTTAAAGACAGTCGGCAAAAGTAATAAATAAAAACCGTCTGCACACAGCCTGGACGTCGGGGTCGTCCTCGCTCCTCAGAGCAGCAGAAGGCTCTTTGTTGGGGGCTGGGGATTTAGCTCAGCGCAAAAGCGCCTGCCTGGCAAGCACAAGGTCGTGAGTTCGGTTCCCGGTACCGGAGAAAAACCAAAATAATAATAATAATAATAATAATAATAAAGAAGGGCTCTTTGCTCGGGACTCGCCGGTGGCGTGGAGGACCAAAGGGCGCCTCATGCTTCTATCATTTTGTGTAGCAGCGGTATAACTATTCCTACCACTTACCAGGCCTCACAGAGGAATTAACAGAAAGACTTACTAGAACTAACAAGAAAGTCTGTGAGGCAAACTGAGAGGGCAGGAAGCTTTAAAATAGTATTTTCTAAACAAGGACTGACAGCTAACTTTCTGAGCCTCATTTCAAGCTCCCTCAGGGAGAAGGAACCTCCCGACAGGCGGGCTTTCCTGCTGTGCTTCCCCCTTCAGCACTAGGGACTGAAGCCAGAGCCTTCACACTGAGCTATGTGCTCAGTCCTTTTTTTAATTTTTAATTTAAAGACGGGGTCTGGTTAAGTCACTAAGTTGCCCAGGGTGGGCCTACACTTACACTCCTCCTGCCTCAGCTTCCCAGAGTGCTGGGATTATAGTTTTCCCACTTTTTAAAAATGTGGGTTGAGACCTGAACGATAGGGGTGGACCGTGAGACAGGGTCCTGAGAAAACCGCACGCAGGCAGAGGCAGCAACAGCGCGGACTCCGAAGCAGGGCAGACGGATGGGTGCGCTGAAGGAACCAGAGGGACGATCGGGGTGGCGCAGAGTGACAGGAGTGGTGGGGACTGAGGCTGGGAGCCTGGGGCACTCTGCAGACTCTGGCCAAAAGTTTGAGTTGGGCTGCCAAGGCACGGTGGCACGCCCCTGTGACTCCAGCACTCAGGAGGCTGAGGCAGGAGGATCATCATGAGCTTGAGGCCAGCCTGGATTACATAGTGCGTGTAAGGCCAGCCTAAGCTACATACCAAGACCCTGTCTCAAAAAAATAAATAAATAAACAAATAATTTTAAAAAATAAAGTTTGAGTTGATTCTCAGAGCGATGGGAAAGGAGTGATCTTACTCAGGTTTATTTTGGCTGCAGGAGCAAAAGGACCGCAGGGGATGGGAACGTGTCAGTCAGAAACCATCAGCCTGGGGCGGGGACCCGGGAGTGAATGAGCCGGAAATGCCCTGGACGTAAGCTCTCACTGAGCATGTTTGAGGGCTAGGAGAGCATTGGGTTAAATAACCCTTACTTATTGTGGGCTGATCAGGCCCGCAATCTCCCAAGCGAGTGGATGGCGAAGGCTTAAATGAGCCAATTGAAATGATTTTAGGGCTCTAGGAGGGTCTCAGTCTCTTACAGCTTTGATATTTTTTGAGTTTAGACCACGATTCCTTTGGGCAGCCTGTATTTATTTGGTTTACAAAGGAGGGGGATATTCAAGAACATCAGGAATCTGAGCAGGACTTGGGAAACCCTTTAAGGACTTTTAAAAGTAATATATTATGTTAATTTAGGAGAACTACGTTATCTCTAGGAAGGACTTTATAGCAGGAGTGAGATGCCTGTAGTTATAGTCTCCTTTAAGTTAACCGGGGTTGGAGCTAGACGTTTTAAGCCGTGGCCTTATCTTGTGCTTTGAGGTGGTATAGCTTTATAGGTCAACACAGGCCTCAGTGGGGACCAGTGACTCAGAGGTGCACTTACTATGAGTCCACTGCCCATCTTCAGACAAGGGGCCTAAGCTTGGGACAACTCACAAGTAAACGCGGAAAGCCGATTGGTAATGGTAAATCCTGTTTAGGGCCACTTTGTAGGGGTCTCTACCTTCGACTCTCATTGTTCTTTTCACCCGCGGGCACCTTGTTCTCGAGACCTGTCACGCAGACCGAAACAGACTCTACACCCACAGGAGAGGGGCCGGGGAGGAACAGCGGGCCTTCTTTCGCTCGAGCGACTGGGCACTTCTTTGTTACATGGGAAAGCTGAGGGGAGAACATGTCGAGGAAAATCAAGACTTGTTACGACATGGCCTGCACTGGAGGTGCCTCGGAGGTACCCAGACGGGGTGTCCACTTGGAGAACAGAGTGCAGACATAAGGACTCGGGGACGGGGGCACAGAGCTACGCACAGCCGCAGGCGTGGCCCTGACACCCGGGAACCGGGTGTAAACAGGAGACAAAGACCCGACGGAGCCCCGGGGAATGGGCTGGGGCCCCGGGAAGGAGGTGTCCAAGGTGTCACCTAAGATGATGACGCCAATGCTCCTGCCCCCGACGGCTGATGGCTACTGAGCGCCTACCGTGCACCACGCCTGTGCCGTGTTAGCCTCGGAACCTTAGCAGCTCCAACCACGGATAGAAACAGACTCACTGGACTTGGTGACCCAACGGTCAAGTGAAGAGATTCTTCTACTCAGGAGGCTGAGGCAGGAGGGTCACAAGTTGGAAGCCAGCCTGCACAACTCAGCGAGACCCTGTCTCAAAATAAAAAATATTAAAAGGACTGAGGGTGTGGACCAGCAGTAGCATACTTGCCCCACATGCACAGGGCTCTGGGCTCTGTCCTCAGCAAAGAAAGGAGGGAAAGAAAAAGGAAGAAAGAGAAAAAAAGAAAGAAAGAAAGAAAGAAAAGAAAGAAAGAGGGGGGAGGGGAGGGGAGGAGAAAAAGAGCTGGGCCTGGTGGCACACGCCTATAATCCCAGCACTTGGGAGGCTGAAGCAGGAGGATTGCTGTGAGTTCCAGGAGTTTGGGCTACATAATGAGACCATGTCTCAAAAAACAAACAAACAAAAAGAAACAGAGAAAGAGAAAGAATAAAAGAAAGACAGGGGTCAGGGATATAGTTCAGCAGCACAGTGCCTGCCTGGCAAGCACAAGGCCTTGAGTTCAATTCCTGGTGCCAAAAATAAATAAATAAATAAATTTTAAAAATAAAAGAGAAAGGAAGGAAGGGAGAAAGGAAAACAGAAAAGAAGAAAGAGAAAAAAATTCTTTTTTTTTTTGTCTTTTTGAGACAGGGTTTCACTATGCAGTTCAGGCTGGTCTTGAACTCACTTTGTAGCCCAGGCTGGCCTCAAACTCGAAATGATCCTGCCTCAGCCTCCTGAGTGCTGGGATTACAGGCTTGTGCTACCACACCCTCCTGAGAAAAAATTCTTTATTCAACAATAATCAGGTCCTACATTCACGAGCTTAATAAAAACCACAAAATAGAGATACATAACACAGTCAGGTAAGTGTTTTAAAGAAAATGAACAGGCCCAAGAGGGTTCTTTCTGGTATGAGGAGGGGACAAGTACTCGAAGGACAAGTAATGAAGGGTGAATGTCAGCAGAAGAAGAAGCATGTGACACGATCCTGAGGTGGCAGCAAGGTGTGGCGTAGCTGGAGCGTGGAAACTCTGGGGAGAGTGGCGGGGCGTGAGTTGAGGGCCGCGTCAGAGCCGGTCAAGGTCAGGTTGGGAACAGGGGCAGAGCAGGAGGCCTTGTAGCCCTGCTAAGGACTTTAGGTTAGGGTTAGCTGGAAGCTGTCACAGTAGACCAAACAAGAGACGGCAGTGGCTTACAGGGAAGAAGGCATCTGAGACGTTAAGAACGACGGTCAGGATACAGCTCAGTTAGGATTGCTAATGGTTTGGAGGCAGGAGAAAGATGGGTGTCACTGTTTTGAACACATTAAGGCCTGACATTCAAGCAGTAAAGCTAGACAGGTAATTGGTTAGAGATCTCTGGTGTTCAGGGGAGAAGTTAAGGCTAGAGATAATGTCAAAAGTTACCAGAGTATAATTAAGGCCATGGAATGGATGACATCACCCAGAGAATAAGGAAAGTTCTAGAAGAATCTGAGAGGGCTCTGCCATTACTCCCATCAACCTAAAGGCTATTCAGAGGAGGAGCCAGCAGGGGGCAGTATGTCAGGCATGATCCGAGAGGTAAGACGGGAGGTACCTGCACCAGAGAAACAAAGACTTTGTAGAAGGAGTAAATGTGTTAAATGAGCATGACTAGGACATAGAATTAACATTTGAATTTGGTAAAGGCAGAGGTCATTGTGACCTCACTGACAGCCATTTTAGGTAAGAGAAGGGATGAAAACAAACCAAGATTTAGGCAGGTCTCAAGGGAATGAGAGGAGAACATAGACATAATGACTGCAGACAACTACTTTGAGAAAATTTTCCTTTAGAGTGAAAGCCCAGCCTGGTGATGCACACCTGCAATCCCAGCACTCAGGAGGCTGAGGCAGGAAAATCACCATGAGTTCAAGGCCAGCTTGGGCTACATAGTGAGTTCAAGGTCAGCCCAAACTACATAGCAAAACCCTGTCACAAAAAAACAAAAGAGTGGAAAGATGTAGAATATCTGAATGTGTACAAGGGGTTAAGGGAGGCTTGTGTTTGTTTTTAGACAGGAGTTATTATGGTGTGTGTACACCGATGGGATTGATCCAGTAGAGAGAACTTGATAAGGGAGAAGGGGTTAATCATAGGAGCAAAGAGTTTCCATTCCATGGGATGGGCGCCAAGATAGTGCCTGAGGAAATTACCTTTAATCAAGTAAGGAGAGGTCACCTTCTATCAGCAGGGAAAAGAACACAGTACTTATGCACAAGTGCTGGTAGTTTGGTAGATTCCAAAATGAAAAGATATGAAAATCTTTTGTGATCTGTTCTATTCTCAGTGAAGTTGTCAGCTAAGACTGAAAAGGAAAGAAGGGATTTTGAGATGCCAACGCTCACCACGACTTCTGGTTCATTTGGAAATGAACTGACTGAGGGAAATATGTGATTGCCACGCAGCCACCAAGAGCCTTGGGGAAGTTCAAAGTAGTAAATTTAAAGGTCAGTCCACAGGGTTGCTAGTGTCCTCATCATTTATCTGGCTTTGCTTGTTTTTGAGACAGTCTTGCTATGTAGTCCAGGCTGGCCTCAAACTTCCGGTGATCCTCCTGCCTCTGCTTCCCGAGTCATGTATCTGTTTTTCAAGTGCAGGTGAGGGCAGGATTTGACCAGGCGAGAACGATGGAGAGGGGTGGGAGCTGGGGAGTTCTGCACGTGCGTGTGGCACTGCAGACCGAGCGCGGGAAGGAAGTGAGAGGAAGACACGGTAGTGTATGATGAAGTCTCAGAATCAATGGGTCACAGGCCCTTTGAAGCTGAATCTCTGGGAAAATGGGACAGAACGTAGTGAGCTAGAAAGATAGGACATAATTAGAGATTAGTGTTAGAAATAGATCCTAGCAACGGCCCAACAATTGACAAGACGTGGGGTGGTGGCTGCCTAAAATGGCTGAAAAACAAGATCCTTCCAAGCAGGACATGGAAGAACTGACGCCAAGCAGACTGTTCTCGGGAAATCAACCTCTGCGCACGATGCCCAGGTGCTGGTGGAAAGCAGGAACTAGAGCAGCTTTGCCAGCTAAGTTGAGGAGAGAACAGAGGTGAGGAACTGGATAGCTCTTCCGACAAGCTCCGCAGTGGAGGAGGACAGGAAAATGGCAAGATTGAAGGGGAGGGAGGGTCAGGAAGACACGGGTGAGAAGAGGGGAGACGGCTGCCGGCTGCCGGGCTGAGCGGAGGTCAGGGTTTTGTGAGGAGCTGGTGGACAGCGCGAGCCCTCGGAGTGGCGGATGCTGTGCGGGAGCAACCGCAGAGATAAAACACAAACCTGAGGCTGGCCACAGGCGAGCGAAGGCGCACATGTGATAAAAACTGGTCAGGCTGGAGGTGGACAAAGAATTGTTCTGGGTTGGGTCATCAGTGAGCCAATGCAGTGGAAGTTTGTTTTGATTTTGTCTTTGTTTGTTTAAGACAGGATCTCACTATGTAGCTCAGGCTGGCCTTGAACTCGTAATCCTCCCGCCTCAGCCTCCTGAGTGCTGGGATTACAGGTGTGCGCCACCAGCCTGACCTCCCCCCCACCTCTGAATCTGGTGAGGACTGAGCAGACAGCACTCGGGTACGCTCTGAACACTTGCTCCAGGAGGGTTTTGTTTGTCCAAGGGACCATGTGCCTCTGGCAAAGTCCCTTCCCTTCAGAGAGCAGCAGGAATCATGTAACACAAAACCTAAATGCAATAACGGGGAAAGCGCGGCCTGGGGGTCCACAGCTAGCCACAGAGAATTCAGAAGGGCTTCCACGGGAAGTAAAAGCAGGTCCTCACACAGCTAGCGGCTCACGGGTCGCCAAGGAAGTAGACTGAGTCCATCGTGGTGGGGCTGTCAGTTTCAGGAGATGACAGGAGGCTCGCGGCATGCAAACCCCCTTGGGGACGCCCAGCTCTGGCTGGGTGGGCTTCTGGGCAGGGGACACCTACCGCTCAGGACAGACAGGTGAAGGCCGGGCGGGCACCTGGTGGTCAGAGACGGGTGGATCACCGCCGGGGTCCTGGGAAGCAGCTTGGCCTCGGCGGTCCCGCGGGGCTCCCGGGGCTGCTGGGCTCTGCGGGGCCTGGGGTGCGCGCGCGGCTCTCGGGGCTTGTGGGGCGCCCGGGACCCCCTGGGCTCGCCGGGTGCGTCGCGCTCGCGGGCCTCGTCGGGGGAGAGGGGCTCCTGCTGCTCGGGGGGCCGGAGGGGGCCCGGGGGTTGCCCCGACTGCCGGCCCTCGTCTCGCCCCCGGCCGTGGTCTGCTTCGCCCGCCTCCTTGGTCTCCACCTCCTCCCGGGACCCCCGAAGCCCGGCGTGCACGTCGAGATCCCTGGGCACCAGGCGAAGGGGCTTGTGGAAGACTTCGGAGTACGTGGGCGTCTCCGGCGCGGCCTGCCCATCGGTGTCCCCGGGCAGCAGGGGCGAGCCTGAAAGCGCGGGGTCCTGCATGGGTCAGACGCTCCCGCCGCAGCGTGGTCACCTCGGCCGCGCGCCGCCCGGGTTCAGGCCGCCGTCTGCCGCGCAGGGGGC